CTAGTGTGCTTCAGAAAAAAAAACAACCCCAGAACCCAAACACTTAAAGACTTCCCCAAGGACAGCCACGCCAATTTATCAGTACACATTATTCATTTTTCAAGTATCTTTTTCAAGCACACCAACATTTTGAGTAAGAATTTAAACAGATGTCTTACTGAGAAGCCCCCAACTTGATAGTCATGTATCACACAAAATACACTGATCTGGGTTCTTGAATTAAAATTTGTATTTTAGAATCTATAAAGTTATTCTTGATATGCTAATTTCCTCAAGGGTACATAATTAAACTTCACATTAGGAAAAAAGTCCATCCTTCCCTTTTTTTCAAAAGTACTTTGCACTGACTTTATTCTATAGCTCCACATGAACACCCCTGCCAGGCACACTGGGCTAATTATCCATAAGAACCTACGGCTCTTGCTCTGTACAGAGTTAACCTCCTACAGCCTTGGCGCTTGTAACTGTTTTAACACATGAATACATTTAGTGATCTAGGTGAAAGTGAGTATGTGTAAGCAAAAAAAAGGCAGAGGAATTACGTTTTTAAGAAGAAAATACTTCAAAAGATGTAGGGACAAAAACATCACAAAATGTGCTAAAAGTAGAGAGCAACCATTTCTCACTTGATTTTAAGCCGGCCAAGAACAAGTGGAAAGAACTGGCTAATTAGTTTTATTCTAAGCATATCATAAATGGGTTGCCATTACATGGAGCTCAACAAACACAAAGTTGAGTATAGATTCTGCTGAACTCTATGATGACTGTTAACAGCAAACTTTAAAAAGCTTCTTTAGGAAAAATAAAAAGTTAAGTCTCAAAGTATCCAATATTCACTGCAGAAGTCAGACTTCTCTGGCAGAACAAACTAGCTGAATTAAGTCAAAACTCTCTCTCCAACTGAAAAATCACTATGACAACTGGCATGGCTGCTTATACATCACAGGAGGATAAGTACTCTAAAATCTGTAGATTACAGTACGCTGAAAAAACTACTACTAAAATCGTAACACAATTTCTCCTTAATGCTTTAGCATGTTTAAAGAACAAATTTTCTTCTAGCTGCACGTATTATATCCACTGTTCTCATTATTCAGAGTAAGTTTCTGTAAAGAAAATTTTAACTTACCTGGCATCCTAATTAAAGGATTTGGGTTTGTTTGTTTGTTTGTTTTTAAAGTCACACAATTACACATAGGTAGCTAACTTCAAATATATCCATCAGAAACTCCTGACATACATTTACAAACTAACATAGGAATATGTAACACAACAGAATACAGAGCGCCACTTTTAAACTTTAAAAAGCATCAAGGACATAAAAAAATAGTTACTATACATTTAAGAAGAACAGTCACCTCCTCCTTTTACTAAGCTGTAAGAAGGTTTTTTCCCGTGTCCTACACTCATGACAGTTATCTGCCTCAGTGAAAAGATCCATTTCAAGAGCAGAGGTCAATCATCAAAATATCAGCATTAACAGTTTAGTGATAACACACAAAACATATGCCCTGCTACCACAGAGAAACATGTAAGGCTGAAGGCAGATGTGAGGTTTAGGCAGATGTGTCTAGAACTCTAATGACGAGAGAAGTGGTCTGATTAGTAAAGAGCATGGTGGAGATGCAATATTTAATTAAAATCAAATCACAGGAAACTTCCAACACTTACTTAAAATGATACAATTCCATCTCTCGCATAATTGCAACATTCTTTCCCACCGCTAAAGAAAATCGCAGAAGAATTGGTATTTTATTTTTCTAAGAAAAAAGACATAGTAGAACAAAAGAGTAAGTTTATTACTTAGAAAGAAGCTCTTCTTTTGCTCTCCTCTACTTTTTTATTTAAGAACAAAAATAACTGGCAGACTATAGCAATTTGTCTCCCTGCACGTCGAATAATTTGATTTTTCATTACTTTGTTCTACCAGGTGCAAACTCACTGCAGTTGGAGACTACCCTTCCTGGTAGCCCAAGATGTTGACAAGTTGGAACAAAAAAGCAGAAGTAAGAAGCACCAGTCACTTCACCAGCCTGGAAATCACTTGACTGAGGAAACTATCACAGAAGACTGACAAGATTTTTGGCTGTTAACTCATACGAGAAGGCACTGCATTCTGAAACAATCCATTCAGAAGATAGAGATGCCTTCTCATTTCTGTCTGCCTTCCAACTCCGATGGAAGGTGGCCCCCCTTTAAGTACCTGGCATGGAAGTATTTATTTATTTTCAAGGTAAAGACTGTCACTGCTGTATATGTGAAAACGACACAGAAGTCATGAATGTCAAAATCCGACAATGTGAAACACATGAAGCTACCACCATCCACGCATATCCGAATTCAGTCTTACTGTAGAGATGCTAACCTTTGTGCCTTAGTATGTATAGGAAATGTGGCACAGCTATAGCTGCCACAGAAATCACAACTTTGAACTGACTTCAGTATATGTAAAATCCCCAGCATATTTTTTAAGCACTTACTGCACCTTTTTCATACAGGGAATGATGAAACAACCAAGCAGAAGGGTGCTGGCTTGCAATTCTTTGAGAGCTATATGCTTGCTTTTGTGACTATTTCAGATACACAAATGATTTTATATTCTAATTTAATATCAATGGCAAGCAGATGCAGTAACAAGGACCAAAATACCTTGAAGACAGGGAAACAAGAATCATAGAATCATTAAGGTTG